ATTTTAACAAGCATCCAGCTCTTCCATTAATACAAGAGACCACATACAAAAATATTGTAGCAAACTTGTACATGTATGTGCGCACATGTGGGTTCATGCAACCAATAGGGATGTTATGTTTTCCTAAAGCAGGGGCGGGCAATTATTTTGGGTGGAGGGCCGCTTGATGAGTTTTAGCGAGCTGTCTAGGGCTGCATAGGTAGCCCCACCCCCTGGTCACCCTCTTGGGACCAGAAGTCCTGCCCCCCTAACCCCTTGCCCTTGGAAGTACTCCTTTTGGAGAGGTGGCCTTGGAACCTGATCCCTCCCACAAGCAAGGACCCAGTCCACCCCATCAGGTCCCAGGCATCAAAAGCTGCCTAACCCTCCCACCAACCACTGGTGCCAGCATGACCTGGTCCTTACCCATCCCAGCCTGCCTCTGCCTGTGGCGCAGAAGCCAGACCAGGCCCAGGTCCCCTCACCAGCACAGCACCCTCTAGTGCTGTGGAACCTCGCCCGTCCTGAGCTGCAGGGGGATCAGCCACAGCTTTCGTTCCCCAGTGCAGCCTGGCCAGCCCATCCCAACCCCTATCAAGAGTGGCTTCCCCACATGCTGCTGCACTTTCCCCCTACCTGCACCAGCTGGTCCCAGAAAGGCAGGAGGGCTCCACCACCACTTCTGCTGGCCAGTGCTGACCCAGCCAGGCATCACCAGCAGCATGTGGGAAGCCAGCTTCAGCCACATGCTGCTCTGAATGGGACAGGCCCAGCTGCTTTGGCACCAGCCAGGAAAAGCGGCATGCAGCTGAAGCCAGCTTCCCACATGCTGCTGGGGACAGGAGGAGCCCATCCAGGTCGGCACCGGCCAGCAGAAGAGGCAGTGGAGCTGTGTGCCGCTCAGGACTGACAGGCACAGGTAGGGGGAAAATGCAGATGAGCTCCTGCTGCTCTGGCCGGGCTTGTCCCATCCCAAGCAGCACATGACTCCACCACTGCTTCTGCTGGCCGGTGCCGACCAGGCCGGGCTTGTCCCATCCCCAGCAGATTGTGTGAAGCTGGCTTCAGCTGCAGGATGCTCTGGATTGGACACACCTGGCCAGGTCGGCACCCACCAGCAGAAGCGGTGGCGGAGCTGTGTGTTGCTCGGGACTGACTGACGGAGGTGGGGAGAAAGTGCAGCTGAGCCCCTGCTGCTCTGGCTGGGCTCATCCTGTCCCAAGCGGCACATGGCTCTGCTGCCACCTCTCCTTTCTGGTGCTGACTGGGCCAGAGCTACAGCCCAGCTGCTGCTTCCCCTCCCCAATGCGGGCCCAGTCTGACCCCACATAGCCCAAGCAGCACTGCACAGCACAGGGAAAGCCTGCCCAGCAGCCACTTTCCTGAGCTTACCTGCAGGGCAGGGCCCTTTCCAGTCCCGTGCAGCAAAGCAGAAGCTGGCCCAGACACTTTTTCCCCTCGCGGGTGCCACAGGTTCTGGCCCAGCCCACCCTACCCCTCTCAAGCTGCAAATGGGGACTGAGCCAGGGGTGGAGCGAGGCCAGCTGGGTCAGGCTGAGGTCAGGGTTGGTTGCCTCACAAGTAAACAGCCTGAGGTGCTGCAGCCAGCAGCTGGTGCTGCTGGAGGCTTTTAGAGCGGTGGCCACCATTACATGCATTTTGAAGGGGTTCCATGGGCCAGAGGGAAGTGCATGGTGGGCCGGCTTGTGGGCCATATTTTACCCACCCCTGTCCTAAAGGATATAAGGACACGTGGTGCCAAGTCAAGATTTGCTGCAGCATTGAATTTCAGCTTACTCAAAGCACATTAGCTCAGCAAAACATATCCTTTCTTGTCTAAATACACAAGTGACTCATACCACTTATTATTTTGTAGGTTGATATAAGAACAGGTTGTATGTACTCTTGTCATGTTATAAGTAAAGTGCAAAAATAACTCATTCCCAAATATTACTTTGCCAAACAGAATATATTCACTCATGATTTTTACTTGTTTGAAGTGGGGACTGCTTTTATCTCAATACAAATTCTCCAGTTTGCTTTCATGTCTCTAAAATGCACATACATTATTTTTATTAGGAAACAGTCATAGTGAATGTGCTGTTATCTGGTTACTTGTTTTGCCATAGAAACATAAAAACATAGGCCTGGAAGGTCCGTAGGATGTCATCTATTCCAATCCTTGCTTGTCCCTCTCTCAAGTGTTTGTTTAACCTGCCCTAAAAATCTTCTAAGGAGAGAGACTCAACAGTCTATCAAGGTACTCTGTTCCAGTGCTTAACCACCTTCATATTTGGAAGCTCCTTCTAATATCTAATCTAAATTTATGTTAATTTACTTTCAGACCACTGTTTTTTGTCCTGTCCCCAGTGAATACAGAGAAGAGTCTCTCACCTTCCTCTTTATAAGAACCTTTATGCACCTGAAGACTGTTAACAAATCCCACTTTAGTCTTCTCTTCTCCAGTCTAAATAATTATGGGGTTAAAACCTTTCCTTCTAAATCACATTTCCTAGATGTGTAATCATTTTTCTTGGTCTCAGCTTGTGGTTCACTATAATGTCCAGGCCTTTTTCCACAGTAGTCAGGCCTTGCCACTCATTTCCCGAGTTCTTATTGTGCATTTTATTATTTCATCCTGAGTGCAGGACTTTGCATTTCCATTTGTCCTCAGTGAATTTCATCTGACAAATGGAAAGCATAGTCTGAAAATAATTTAGTGTAGCAGGCTCACCTTTCAGAGATTGGGCTGAGTCCCAGGCTTGAGATCCTGCTGTTTTGATTAGTGGAGCCCATCCACGAATCAGGAGGCAGCAGGAGAAATAAAGTCAAGCCCCTTTCCTGAGGGGTGGGGGAAAAGAGCTTCCCCGGGCCCTACTGAAGACTGTAAACTGTCAGGTCCGGAAGACTTCAGGGGTGGAGCCCTGAAGTACATAAAAGGAGGCACCGCACTCAGCTAGAAACAGGCAGCAACTCCCACGATGGTGTCAACACGAAGTGCTGCCAGGGCCCCTGCCCGGGGGGCGCAGCTTTCCCGGGTCTTGTCTGAGGCTTCCACCCAGACGGAGCCCATGGGGGGGCTGGCGTCCCCCAACCCCCTGGCCTGAGGGAGCTGCCCAGCAAGGCCTGGGAGGGGGGCAGGGACTGGGGACCCCCACACCTGTCCTGCAGGCGCCCGCCTTAGGGCCCTGGAGGCGCAGGTGAAGGAGCTCCAGGAGGAGGTTAGCAGGCTGAGGGGAATCTGAGAGGCAGAGGAAGAAATTGACAGATATTTTCTTTCCCTGCAGGGTTGTACGAGCAAGGGGGATGCACCTCAAGAAGTGCCCTCCACTGCTAAGTGGCAGACGGTCACCTCCCGTGCCAGGACTGCTCGTAACACAGCAGCACCAGTTCCTCCAGTCCGGCTGGAGAACAGGTATGAGGCCCTGGCAGCCCTGGAGGAGGAGGAAATGGGGGGGAGGCAACTCCACACTCCCTACATCCCATGCAGGCTGAAGGAGACAAGTAGGCCAGGAGGAGAAAGCATCGTGTGATCATCATTGGCAACTCCATCCTGAGAGGTATGGAGGGCGCCATCTGTCGCCAGGACCCCTTGGCACGCGAGAACTACTGCTTACCTGGAGCAAGGATTCAGGACGTGAAAGGG